AAAAATACTATTTTTATCATAGTATCATTTTTTTCTTTTGTGATTTGATTAAATAAAGGTTATATATAGTTATTGAACTAATCAATATGTAGTATAGAGTGTAAGCATGCATGAAGACATAATATCATATGAACTCAATCTCAATGCTATGACTGAAATGAACAAATTAAGAAAATCAATAGTAGAACAATAGATACAGCAATAGTTCATAAATAATAATTTGTTTGCATTAGAAAGTAAAAAAACAAAGAAAAAACAAGTTAACTAGATGAAGTATGAACCAAAGATTCAAATTTAAATAGAATTAATTCTTATTAAATATTTCAAGAGATTATATATCAAATTTTTAAATAAGAGAGTTTAAGTTGAAATAATAATATTATTTGTAATGTTATCATTTAGAAAAATTGAAGAATTTTAAATTTTAAAAGTATTGAATAGTGAAAATGAGTACATATCTATATAATTTTCATATTTATGATTTTGTAGCATGATTGTTTGTGTTCGAATTTTGTTTGAACACATACAAGATGATTCATTTAAATTCATATTATATATCACAAAATAAGATTTCTATTTGAATTTTTTCCACATCTCTTAATTTCATTTGTGTAGTTTGTAGAAAATCAAAATTTAAAATTTCTTGCAAAAACCTTCATGCATTACTCTCCAAAAACTTGAAACAGTTTGTTTCAAAATCATTTGTATTTATTTAGTGTATCATCTTAAAGATTTATCTATGAGATAAAAAACCAATAACTACATAGATGTTGATAAGCAATTTTATAAGGTTAAGTGAATCAGTCAAAATTGTTCATTATATTTGAGATGCTTATGAAGTCATACATGATAAACATCAAATAATATTCAAGATCAATCTGATTCAATTCAACTGAAATTAAAACAACTTTAATATGAAAAAGTTATACGTCATGTGGAATACCAACATCAGATTTGTCAATTATTGATTTCAAATTTACAAGAAGTATATGCAAATATAAAAAAAATTGTCTGAAGAGACACAAGATTAAAGTGGATTAATTTGTCAATTTTTTTCAAACTTCATCAAGATCTCAAGAAGTATGTCAATTGAACGTATCAATTTTCATCCATATGTAGTAAAAAATACAAACAAAGTAATGAAATACTTTCAAGAATCAAATATCATAAGAGAATATGCTTTGCAATGGTAATAATTTTACACAATATAAAAAATGAAAAAAGGAAGTCAAAAAACAGTTTGAAGCTCATGAAAAAAGCAAGACACAAATTCAATTGATTGTAAAAAATAAAATGTTGTGAATACACAAGGGGAAAGTTGTGATTGATCTTAAGCACTAAAAAACTCAATGTCACAAATGTTGCAATGAAATTAGGATTGATGTTGATGAAAAATGTGAATAAAAAATATACAATTTGCAATAATAAACTAAATTTAAGAAAACACTATCATAAAATATTATTAATCTTTAAGTTTATACAAGAAAAATATTGAATAAAAAGATGTATCTAATTTAATACAATGTCATTTAAGGTTTTACATGCATGAAGCAATACAATGTATAATTGGATTGAAGATAAAATAAAATAAAAATGATGATTGAAAATTTTATAAAGATGATATTGTTTTCAAGAAAAAACTTATTAGTTTTTGTGAAGAAAAAAAAACATCATATTTTAAGCATGACATATGTTTTTCAGTATGATTAAAAGGATTTGTTATGTTCAAGTAAAAACTTTACATTTCACATATAAAAATGTTGACGTATATAATCTATGTGCAATATTATCATCAAAAAAGTACATGTATCACAAGATTGAGATGATACTTTGAAGCATATAAACTTGCACAACTTTATATTTATCGTCTTCAAGCAAATTAGAAAAATGAAAACTAAGATGAAAAATTGTTGAGCAAAGAATTTTTTGCTTATTTTGTGGTTGCAAAAATTGTCTGCTATGGTTCTACAACAACTTTTATAGAGGTTTCAATGGTTTCAAAGATTTATTCAACAAAAAATTGATCAAAGGAATTAATCTCGTATAGCAAAAAAATTGATTTTATCCAAAGCATGGTCTAAGATTATTAATCAATCAAGTGTTTTATTTAATGAAGGTCCAATGTAATTTGGAAATTAAAAAAAATTAAAGGCATAAGATGATGCATTGATTATCATGAATTGAATCATAAGAGGCTGAAAAAACTACGTTGTATGAATGACTTATTTGATCAACTTTAAGGAATAAAGTGGTAATTGAGTAGAAATTACAATAAAATAGAATCGCTCATCAAAAAAATGTACAATATCATTATGTTAAGGATTATAGTTTTTAAAATATTTAATGATGACTTTTGATTTAAAAAATGAACTTATATATTCATGATACTTATGAAAAATATTTTTATAATTATTTTAAAAACCTCTTATTGTTATTTTATATGATATTTTGATATATAGCAAAATCTTGAATGATCATAATTATCATTTACCAAAAATAATTCAAATTTTACTAGATAATTAATTATATGCCAAAGTTTCAACATTTGTATTTTGCAAGTCAAAACTAAACTATTTGGATCATAAAATTATAATAGAAGGAATTCAAATGATGATAAAGAAGAGAAATGTAATTCAAAAATAAACATCACATAAATATTAAACTCAATCAAATTGTTATATAACACTCGTCAATTTTTATCGTAGATTTGAAATTTATTATGTTTGTCTGGCTCAAACATTATCATCTATGCAAAAATGATAATTACAATATCAATAAAACTCTAAAAAGTTAGTATTTTAAGCATTTAAAGCTGATTTTTTACACAAATTATGATTAGATTTATATGAAATGATAGAATTCTAATCACGTTATCAAAATTTTCATAAATGCATTGAATGACATATAACATTAAAAGTGGAAGCATGAATGACATTCAATTGCTAAATTTCTCAAAATTCATGATAATCAAACAGAATTATCAACACGCAGAAAGAGAAATATTCAATATTGTGTTGGCAACAAATATCTATATGTATTTCTTGGATGAAAAAAAGTTTGTGATGAAAATCAATTATAAATCACTAATTTATGTGAAAATTCAAAAAAAAATATCTTTACAACAAATTTGATGAATTTAACGACATCTACATTTCAACGTGAAAATTGTGTACGTAAGTATTAATTTGTGTATGCCACCACACGCGTGACCATCTTTAATTATATTACAAAAATGAAATTCAAATAGATTGATAGAGCAAAATGAAAAATACCACAAAGAAATTTTAAAATATCATAAAAGCACTTTAAGCTTTAAACAAGTATAAGATTTGAGTTATGATGTTTTACAAACAACTTATATAATTTAAGGAAGATCAAAAGTTACACACAATGATTTTATCACATTGTCACAATAGGACTATTGTGAAGCATATGAAAGTGATAATATTTTTGCAATACATACAAAAAAAAGTATTATTATTTTAAAATAAATGTTTTAAGTTATATGATTTATGAACAAAACAAGACAAGTAATAAAAAAATCAATCAGGTTATCAAAATTTCTCCTTATTCCACAAAAATGACGATAACATGTTTTTTTAATGTCTTTTGTAAAATATCAAAAAATTAATTAAAAAATTATTGCAAATTATGATTTTATGCAACATTAGAAGTTATGAAAGAAGCTTGATTGAAGATGAAACATATTTTTTGACAATGAAATATATCTTATATGATTTTTCACTTATATTATATCATTATATAGTTTTTTTCAACAAGTATAAGAAGATAAGATTTCACTTTCATCATTCATTTCACTTCTAATAAGTTGATGGTATGACGGAGAAGTACACAAATTGTTGACATGTGACATTCTTTAATAAACACAAAGTTTGCTAACATGTTCTTAATACACTTATTTTCTACCTACACAGTACAGTACACATAATGCTGACATGATTATTATAGATAATGCATTGCAATCCAATTCTATCACCATCTTGAGTAGTCTCTAAAATGTTGATTCATTTAAATAGGTATCATGATTTATTATTTATAAATTGCACAATAAATTCCAAACTTCCTTAACTCTGCTCAAATTTAACTTTTACTTTAATGCTAAATGATTTATTAAATAATATGAGTTAATCACTTTGAATTTTGAATTGAATCTAATTTCTGATTATCATGAAGCAATGCACTTCTTCAACTAACTTCACATTCTACAACAATCAGATCAAAGCTTTTACTAATTGCAACTTCCAATGATAGCTTTGACAATCTTAAATCTAGATTCCATATTTGGTTTTCTCACTTATCACTCTATTCTCAAAGAGTGTGCTTATAGCCATGGTTTGAAAGAAGTAATTTGGTTCAATTGTTGTCTGATTGTTGTGCTTCAAAGACTTCAAAGGTTTTTACCATCGCTACTTCCCATCCTAGACACATTTTCAAGGACTTATCTTCAAAGAATATTCACACTGCTTGGAGCCGTTTTCAAACTATAAACCGTTAGCGAAATGTCTCTCAACGGCGATGTTGACCCTACCAACAAGTTAAATGCAAACAATGCTAAGCCCGGACTAATCTCGAACTTCTCGATTTACTCCACATATGCACATAAACCTAACTAAGTATGACATTACAAACTTAGAGACATGTGTAATTATCTTGAGCAAAACTGAAAAGAGAAAAAGTAAGATTCAAATACTTTAAGTTTCAATTCAGATATTTTGATTTTTCTACGAATCATGAGTATCATTAGCATGTCAGTTCCGTGTTCGAGTTCGTTCATGTTGTGTTCAGTGTATGTTCGACACATCCATGGCACCACGTCACAACCATGGGATGCCTTGAATTCTCCTCCTAGTCATGAGGAATCAACTTCACAAATTATAACCCTAACCGGAATATGATGTAGAATTCCTATTGGCCGCATCACCTTTTTGTTCGGTGGATTTCTCGCATAGACACCAGCTCCTCAAATTAGTCACAAAGTGAGCAAATTTCTGTAACTTCCCAGTTCACATAAGTGACAACTTCGTAAGGTGCCTGATCGCCACCCAAGGCCTTCAGTGCAGAGAATTATGCTTCTTCTAAAAATTGGAGATTTCCTATTAATGAATCAGAACATGACGTAGATTCGATCTCCTCCTCCAAAGCAACATGCAGGTCTATGAGCTCATGACGTCCTATCCATGCCGCGTCAGTTCCAAATCATGGAAAAGTGGGAAGTTGAAAATCCAAGCTCCAGCAGGACCTGTTTTGAACTCCTGCAAGGTAGGGAAAGGTTCTCAAGTACAAGGTAGAGGTGGTCGGTGCAGTATACATCGGGATTGGGAACTCAAAGGAAGAGGGAGTGTGAGGGATGGAGGGACACAGTACTAGAAGGAGACATGGCTGACCTTCAGTATTCAGAGCCCGCGCTGGGATATAGACAGACAAGACAGTAGGTGGGGAGAAGCCCAAGGAGGTGCAATGGGACGAGGACGGAGGACGAGGACAGGCATGGGGCGATCAGGTAAGAGTATTTTAATCGGTCCGCTGGTAACTTTTGAACCCGAATGGCCCGCGCTCTGGCAGCAGGAGGAAAGAAAGATTTGATTGAAGAACTGCGAGGGAGCTGGTGAGTGAGAGAAGATCAGGTGAAAAGCTCAGATGAAGCCAGTGGGCTATTGTACACGTCGACGTCATTACCTTTCGTCCTGCAGCAGAGGGGCAGCCAAGACGAGAAGCAGAGGAAGCAGAATTGGAGGTTGGTTGGTTGGAGAGAGGAAGAAGGAGGGCAGGGCAGGGAGCAGGGAGAACAGAGTTTAAGCTGGTACAGGTTAAGGAACCAGTCAAATACGAGTGAAGTTACGAAGGCTGGAGAGGAGAACCAGTTCCCAGCTCAGAGGAGTGTGTTTTAAGCGAGGAGGAAGAGGGAGAGAGGACTAGTTATAAGAGTGGAGGTGGAAGTTGTCGAGCAGCAAAGATCCACTCAGGGTTATCCAATTTCTTTTCACTGCAAAGACGGACTAACAACAACCCACACTGACCAGACAAGCTTATCAGCAGCCCTAGCAATTCTCTATAAGTAGATTTCACGCGCCACTCACTCTCTCTCTACAGCCTGTAGCTGGCATCTAGCTGCGTGGACAACCACCTACAGGTTCTCAGCTCGGGCTTCTGTCGAATTCTGCCTGCTGCTACTTCAGAGCAATTCAAATCCACTCACATCCTCAGCCTGTTTGGGAGATAGGAGAGTAGCATTGGAGCATTGCTCTCGGACGAAAGCTGTTGTTGTCACAAGTCGAAGGGAGCAAGTTTGAAGGAGATTTTGTCAGCAGTCGCGCTCAGTCGTGTGTGATCTCTGAGTTATGCCGTCTCGTCCTGTGCCACTGGATTTTGACACGGGAACCACCTGCGTTCTTGCCTGGTTTGATTGCTTAACCCTCACGGACCGATGATATCTGGTTCACGTTTTTCACGTGCACGCTTTGCATCTGAAATTCGTCCGCAAGTTTTGCGGCACTAGGAATGTTCTCGCTGGTTGATGACGATCGCATTAATTGCAGGGGCGCTGGAGAAGATGGGCAGCTGGGGTTGAGAGATTTGAAGGACAAACATGTGGTGACTGTTGTGGACGCGCTTTCAGCGGTGACCATTGAAGGCGTGGTTGCCGGAAGCAGAAACTCCATGGCATTTTCTGATGAAGGCCAGGTGAGCTTTGAAGAAGACTGTAATACTTCCAATGGTTAAGAAACCAAAACAAAACAACAAGGTTCTCTTTGATCTGGAAGCTAATCGGGGATCGATTGGGCAATTACTGTTGAGCTTTTGGGGTTCTTGTGCAGTTTACAACTATGTGGAGAATTTCGATGAACAGGTCAAGTTTCTGACTTGAATTTTCCTGAGTTCATTCGCTGAAAGATAGCTAGCGCGCATATTTGCGCGTCAACAAATACACATTGAAAGTTTTATTTAGATTTTATTTTCTTATTGTCTTTTACAATATACATCCTCCATGCCGTGGTTATCACTACTTAAAAAATTACTTGCATTTACACGACCATGAGTGCCTCTAAGTACATGTAGTTTTTTTCTCCGTGCTTTTAGCATGTATTTTCTTCCCATTTTACCTGAGAATTGATGGTTATGCACTTTCTTGTTTGTCTTAAGATTTTATCTTAAAAAAGACGCCTTGAAGCTTCAGTCTTGTAACAAGATTTTCATCTCTTCTCCTACTCAAATCATCTTTCCTAGACCATCTTGTGTTGAGGTCTTTCTGCATATTCCTGCTGCGCATTTGTTGTGTGTCTTCGCGATATTGAGCTGAAATTTGTGAATCTGTCACAAATTCGGTCACAATTCTGTTACAAATTCAAATTTTTGTCCTGCCTCTTGATTACTCTTGCAAGGGTTCTCTTCTGAAGCTCGCTATATCGTTTATGTGTGTTTATGTAGATCGTGAGATGGAGTGTTTCGTTCCCTATCTTTCTATATTTGTAAGTTCAATTGCGGTTTTTTATCTGCTGTGACCCAGTAACAGTAGTATCACGTGACGCCGCACTCAATCTATGTGGTCCTTATCTTGTGATTACCCGATCTCTCTTCAGCCTTCTTTGTACAACCACTTTTCTTTCGTTCTAAGTTTTGATAGACATCTGGCATTGGTTCACACTTGTCTCTTTATTCTCTTTGAAACTAACAATTCTATGACAATTCTACCTTAACATAACCGATGAGAGGAATCATTGCAAGTTTCTTCCTCATTTCTGGTGAATGCGAGATCTGTGGATTTCAACAGCAATTATCCTTAGAGTATGTGCTCCTCCTTTGCTCTTTCATCATTTGTAGTTTGTGAATTTACTGACAGTCTTTACATTAATTTTGCATGGTAATCTGTGCAAAGTAAGCAAAGCAACTGAGTATTGTCTTCCTCGCTAGAATATTTTTGTCATATATATTGGAGCTTGATATTATAGATTTAAGTGGATATAGCTGATAGGTATTATACTCTTATATACAAGATCTATTGTTCTCTTTGCAATCAGTGAACTGAGTGTGTGGCTACTTATTTCTACTTAATTATGCTTTCTAGATCATTTCCATTGGAACTGCTCATGTGATCTGAGAAGGCCATTGTCTAGCTTGCTACAATTCACGCCTTACCGAACCAAACATCTGAGTGACGAATGCTTTCTCTTGAGTTTACTTCAATTTTGCCATGTTAAACTTTTAGCTGATCCTGTATGTTCTTCTTGTTCAGCTTTACACATGGGGTTGGAACCAGCGGGGAACTCTCGGTCACCCTCCCGACAAGAAGACAGAGAGCTGTCCGAGCCAGGTACATTTCTCCGCCTTGCAACTATGGCAACACAATCGTCTACCTTACAATAGTGAATATTTTATCAGGTTTGGTTTTCTAGAAACCCGGAGGCATGCTGTTGGAAGTTGGATTGCCAGCTGACCCTTCTTTTGTCTTGTGCAACTTGCAGGTGAAGGCCCTGAATGGGGTGAGGATTGTACAGGTGAGCTTCGGATGGTGTATGCTTGAATAAGAGTTTAGGCTTGTATATGAGTCTTCCAGTTTGTCAACAAAAGTTTGTTTTTACTTACTTATATGTATCTATTTTGTCTTAAGAAGCATAGCTAAAACAGGTGTGTCGGCTTCTAGATGAGAAGTTTAGAGTTTGAGACATTGATATTTTCTCAGGCGGCTACTGGAGGATGGCATTGCTTAGCTGTGGATGAAGAAGGACGTGCCTACGCTTGGGGTAAGTTTTTATGGTTTCTAAGTTTGGCTTTCATTCTGCTAAGTGAACTTTGCCTAAGGAAGTAAATCAGCTCTCGGAGTTTCCCGAGGGATTTAGATGAAAGCAAGGATGTAAAGAGGACGAGTATGCATGCTTGGACCTGTGATAGGAAATGGTCGAGGACATCTTTATTCCAAAACGTAGTGAGATATAGAAGCGCTTCAAGGCTATATGGATGTCCTATACCAGTTGTAGATCTATCAAAGAACGCTAGGGTTACGATGGAACTCATAGCATGTTATTGACAACACCTTCAGCACTATCAACTCAACCGATGTAAGTTCATTGATGTCTCTCTATCTTCCAATATTTATGTTCTGTGGTTTGAAGCTAATAGACTTTCATTACTTGCAATTGCAAGGATTTCGGGTATACAGGCGGAAATGAGTATGGCCAGTGTGCAGAGGAAGCAGATGGAAAGACAATGAAACGGGATATTACCATTCCACAACGCTGTGCTCCTCATTTGCGTGTGCGACAGGTATTTTTTTCCGACTGGATTTCACTTAGATGGATTGTCTGATGAAAGGTGATATCATATACGTCTCACTTTTAAATTCACACTAAGATGTGAATCCTGCAGGTTGCTGCTGGAGGGACTCATTCTGTTGTGCTAACACAAGACGGTCATGTTTGGAGTTGGGGTCAGCCCTGGCCTCCTGGTGACATGTAAGGCTTCAAAACTAAAACTGTGTCTGGCTAAAAGATTTTGACCACAAAATTTTAGAGATGTGATCGGCTCAAACTTAATGAGGTTGTGTTGGCCTGGGCTTATTATTTTTCTGATCAACTGCTCATTATTATGAATGGTAGCTATAGAAGATCTACAGTATCTGTTCGACACTCATTTGGAATTAATGCTGTCATTATAGCAAGCAGATCGCAACTCCCGTAAGAGTTCAAGGCCTTGAGAAGGTTAAGGTTATAGCCGTTGGTGCATTCCATAACTTGGCTCTTTTAGAGTCAGGAGAGTTATGGGCCTGGGGGAACAATGAGTATGGGCAGCTCGGAACAGGAGATACTCAGCCACGTGCTCAACCAGTACAAGTGAAGGGACTTGACGGACTGGAATTGGTACACCCCGTTTCGAGATGCATAGGATTGGAGTTTTGTCGTAGATATGTCAGTGAAAGCCAAAGTTTTATTATATGCAATTGCAGGACAGAAGATTTTAGCAAGGTTGTCAAACTGTTAAACAGCCAAACACTGATTTTGGCCAATTCTGCTGCAGGTTGACATCGCTGCTGGTGGGTGGCACTCAATGGCTTTGACAGCAAAAGGAGAGGTCTGTCATTGTCTACTTTTTTCCTTTCAATGTTTCTCCATTTCTTGCCTCTTCAGATAGCTGTAGTTGACTCTGGAAGAGCGCAAAGCGTATCGAAGCAAAGTCGTTCTGTAGATCTTTATTTTGTAACAAAAATAAGATCTACAGAACAACTTTGCGAAGAGATTTGAGTTTCAAGTTTTCAAGTTCCTGATCAGTCACTTTCCCCACCTACCAAACTGAGACGTCGTATGGATTCCGATGTGGATTAGACTTTATGCTTGTGGAGCGGTAGGTGGCATAAAGCTTCTACGCATCTGCCACAAGTTGAACGGATATAAGTTGTCCAGAATAGACAGTGATAGAAGCTTTCCGTACTACGGATCCAACTTGTCTGATATTGGTCTTTCCTTGTTTTCTGTCACATCAGGTCTATGGATGGGGCAGGGGTGAACATGGTCGTTTGGGTTTCGGTGACGACAAGAGCAGTAAGATGGTGCCAGCGCAAGTTAACCTTTTGGAGGACGAATTCATCATTCAGGTCTTCTGCTCATCTCGCAACCTATCATCTCTGATCAAGCAGTTCGGAAGCTTTTAACGTTAGGACTTCTTCTAACCTGTACTGAAGATCACTGCTCTTGCTTGCAGATATCGTGCGGTGGCACACACTCGGTGGCTCTAACAAAGGACGGTCGCATGTTTTCGGTGAGTACCTGATCAAACAAATATCTGTAGCCTGAGCACATTTACAAAAGTACAATATGAAGTGGTGAGGATTGCTTGGATTCAGGTCCTTCATACACGATTGTTGGTGACCGTGTTTGTGAGTTGGTTTTGCAATGTCGTATTGAGATCTTACCTTGGGCTAAAGTCTTGTGATGGAACTTTACAGTTTGGAAGAGGTGATCACGGTCGCCTTGGCGACGGCCGGCAAGTGACTACTGGTCACCCATTGGAAGTACCAATCGATATCTCGCGTTCAGGAAAGCCGATCAGAAGAAGTCGAGATGATTCGGATGATGATGATGAAGAAGAAGAAGAAGAAGAAGAAGAAGAAGAAGAATCTGGAACATCGTCGGAGTCGGCTGATGGTTGCTGGCGTATCAAAGCTGTAGCTTGTGGCGGTCAGCACACCATGGCTATTGCAGTCTGGGATGGAACACCAGAAGAGGAATAAATTGTGTATTACTATCTGCGAGCTAGATTCGACAGTGAGGGATGCACCCAAAGTATCGAACTATCAACCACACCTTACTCAGCCAGCAATTGCGTTGGGACCTTCATATGGGGAGATTGTACCAGTGGATGTGTTGAGTTTGCACAGTGTGTACAATAGCATTTGTCCACACTATTCGGGGTTGAACAAATTTTGACGAGGATTGAATATATGTATATTGCTATCATTTCGAAGTACTTCGAGAACGCCTTTGTGGGAACCTCTTTACAGATACGACCTGATTCCAGGTGAAATTTGTAGAAGTGTTTCATCTGTTGTAATCTGGGTTCGAAGGTTGTCCTTGAAACCTTCACTAATACACCACTTTAATGTACATTCTTTTAAGAGATGCCCATATCGCACACTGAAACTTGCTTGCAACATTACGATGTTACACTGCCTGTCCGAAGTTCTTACCCTCCTTGCAAACAGCACTTTGGTCTTGTAATCTTTGCCAATTTTACATCAGTGGTTAAAGCATATCTGAAACTAAGAACACTATAGAGCACGTTTGCAGAGTCGGTCGGCCGAGGCAGTTTTGAAGAGATGCACATTTCGATGGGACTTCTAGAAATAAAGAGAAATTGCAGAACTAATTTCTGTGGACCAAAAACTAGTCACTAAGAAGAGGAACATCAGTAATGCAGTCAAAAGGTTTGGAGGACTCCATCGACATTCCCTACCTATGGTTGCAAGTTGCGTTTACTTCTCTTCTCGTTCAGGAGGGCCACGGAGGTCAGATAAGGCATATCTCAACTAAGTCATGAATCTCCCATCCTCGGTTACGACCTGCCAGTGCATGAAGCCATGACAGCCTTTCCAGGTAGCCAACAATCTACAAGAATGCTGTTCCACATGGCGTACCTTTTTCCATTGACTGCTAAAGGCAAAGATATTCTGGACTTCGGGTTACTGAGTTTTCGAGCTCCTTGTTTCGAGCCTAAGAAGCCTTTCCCCGAAAGGCATGACGACAACCGCATCCTGACCACCATCCGTTGGACGCCAGGCGGCGCATCTACTCCTCGCCATTTACGGTATCTACGTTTCACCTACGTGGTTGAAAATGACAACTGCAGTTAAGACGCAAGCACCTACTGTACGACGTGGGGGCTTTTGTCGTTCGTGGCAACCACAGATTTTTTCATGTATGGGGACTTGGATCCTCCTCCTGGTGCGGTGGAACGAGCCCGGCATGGTCCGAGACTAATGAACTGTATGTATCAATGGTGTATTATATATACATGTATTATACAAGTTTTTAATACAGCCAGAAAATGATCAATACAGGGGTGTCCTGTATGACTGAACTTCGATACAGTCGCGCACTGCGGGGATCCATACATCAAAACCCCATCTGGTCGAACTGTTGCCTCCACGTTTCGTTGGCAACAACCAGAAGACCAAAGTGTGCTATTTGCTGTCGATCTTTGCTAAGAAAACTGAGCATTCTAATGCGTATTGATTGATTTCTCAGTCTATACAGACAATTATGTTGTATTATATGGTATGTATCAATGCAGATCTGAGTATATTCGAGATATTATCATTCAATTGTGTATATCGAGATCCGACTCTCCAAAAGCTATGGATGTCGTTCCCTCTTTCGGTGGATGCCATAGATGGTAAATTCCCCTCTTTCAAACTTCCCATCCGGCGCTTCTCGGTACTTAAAGGCTCGGCTGTCGTCTGGCACGCGTGGATGGCCGTTATGCTGCAAGGCTTATAAAGGCTTCCTTACGTCGTCGAGGGACTACTGCCCCACCTTCATTACCCTCGTCACGCGAACTGCGAGCTTGCTTCACACTGGGGTCAGAACGAGCGAGAAAGACGAGGATCGGAGTGGGAGGAGGAGGAGGATGATTACGATGACAGACGCACTATCGAGGATCAGAATCTCCGGGGAAGTTGCAAGGCAACCCGCTGCCACTTTCAAAATGGTGCTCGTGCCTGCCTTCCAGGTTCTATTGGCGGCCCTACGGTCACGCTCAGCTCCGACTGCCATTGAAGCGTGAAGGCGTTGGTGAGAGAAGGGCAAGAAAGATTGATTTGAATTTGAGTTGTAAGCGTGCCATGGTGTTATCCACATGAAAACTTCATGCATAAGAAACCCATGCTTTGTATAACGAACCAAGAAGAGATTCTCGCCAATCCATCATTTACTCCTGGTCGAGACGTGATACATGGACAGTTTGTGCGGATCACCGGGGTGATCTTGCTTTCGATCAACAGTGCACGACACAATTGGTAAACTAGGAAGTGTTGAGTGAACCGGCTGAGATCTACAGCTTTGACTAACCAAAGAAGCAGAGGGGTTTAGTCCTGTGAACGGGCTGGAAGACGAGGTTGTCTGCAAGACCAACTGAACAAAAGTGTATAATGTTCCTCGGGCTCCAGGGAAGTCGGAGACGTAGTCCCCAAAAATGAGGCTATTATCCAGTCCCTTGAGAGAAGAGTCAGGAGGACCTCGAAGGCCGAGTGTGCTTCACGCTGTACATGAAGTGCTCTCAAATACCAAAATCAAGGAGCCAGTAATAATTCCTATGGGCCAAGAATTCCACATTCGTCTGGTACATATCTATGAGTAAGAAGACATGCTGATGGTTGGAGCACCGTTGTTGTATGACTGCTGCCAAGATCCCTCACTAGCTTTCGTGATGAACACGTAGTAGAGCTCGCTGAAGAGAAGGGTCAAAAATGAGAATGCTGCACCAGCTCCGAACAAGCTCTTCTTTACCTGCTTGCAATGCAATTCATCTTCGAGATCATCAGTTTCATCGCTGAAGTTGACGATCGCATGAGTCCTTATAGTATTCAGCCTTGCTCCCACCAGCAAGCACAATTCCGCGATGATGAACGAGATCCTGGGTTCCACAATACGAGGCAAAGTTAGTCTTCATCACTGAATGGACAAGCAATGTACCCACATTCAGCACAAGCACGAGTCCGCCCTTTCTTACCATGACAAAGTAAAAAAGATGATAGCCCACACTCGGGCTTTCCCTGGTTTGTAAGTCGCAGATCCACAGCAGAAACAGCTTGTCAGACCCATGACGATGGCTTGACCAACTAGCAAGAAGAGGAGAGCTCCAATTGCCAGGCCAGACGCTCTATCATGTGTATACTGACAGTAGAAGGAAATTCCGTCATTTTCCTTCGTAGCCTGTACGATCAGAGTTATGGAGTGAGAATCATAAACATCGACGCTGATTAGCCCCTTCAAACGCTCAAGGGCTACATTCTTTGAGCAAGGCAGAGACTCACGACGACATCGCAAGCAAGATACGCATAAAGATTCCTCTGAAAAGAATATGTAGGATTCTCCACCTAACAAAGCGAATGCAATGAAGCTAGTCGATACATCTGCGGAGCAATCGGTCAATGTAGGCTACAGGATGGGTACAACAAAGGCGAGAGAGGAGACCTTGCTCCGCTGGGTCTCTGCTCCGATAGCGAGCCCAAACGCAACGATGTCGAGAAGGAATGTAGCCCCAATGACGAGCCATGAAGGACTCCGCATCTTGACGAACGCTACAGACTACCGCCGACGGAAGAAACGGGGTATCCTGCACGAGCTCACTACGCACACTGATAGCCCAGAAGCAAATTCCCCGCACGAAATGCTTTCTTCCCGCACCTCTTTACACACGAAAACCGAACATTCCAATCAGAATGAGACGAGTCGAGCCCGACGCAGAGGCAGCCTAAGGTCGTCGCTTCCACGTCCAAGCAGTCGAAGCAGGCCCGTTCCTGGTGAACAACCTGCAGCATTCAAAGATTGCTGCGTGTCCCAGCTTTTGACTGCCTCGTAGTCACCACTCGCGACGCCGCAAGGGGCAGTCAAACAATCCTCACCACCACTTTCGCCAAGCTTGACAGACACCCGATGCGGCTCGGCTCGATGTGGATGTGACCCCGTCCCTGTCAAGAAGTATTCTCTCGGCGCCCGCAAGAAGCAAGCAATCACCGAAGAATAGAAAAAAACCTCCGAGCACTTTCTTCCGGCCACGAGAAATGTGCGCTCCAGGCAAATTCCTCGTTCTCTCTCTCTCTCCGCTCGCTGTGTGCTGTCTTTACCTTTCCATTCCAGAGCTCCGACAGCGGTAGGTACGAGCCGGGCCTCCTCCTCCAGAAGACAAAATGTTGGTCTACGGTGCTGACGGTAGAATATGGTCGAAGCTGGAGCTGGTCTTGCTACGAGGGTGAAGTAAAAGTGGCGCGAGGGAATACGAACGAGCTTACTGATTTCCGAGGCCCCGCTTCTGAAGACGAGGGAGGGCTACTGCTGTCGCTGCAGTCAGAGGAGACGTTGGGAGAGAGGGAGGGGATTTCGGAGAGTAAATGAAATTCCGAGGCCAGAGCAGAAGCAAATGTGGGCCACGTAGCGAGACAATAAAATGCAACGCGATGCTGCAGTACACTAGAGGCCAGGCCGATCGTTCAAATATTCCAAAGAAATTGGCCCTTTCGTGACGAAGAAGGCTCGAGCAGCAAAGGCCGAAAGAGCTAGCGACAAGGGCCGAAAGGAGGCAGCAGCAGCAGCTAGAGGTTTCGCCAAACTTGAAACGATGGACTAAAAATAAATTGAAATTTAAACCCGTCGAACCAGACGTCGCCATTATGACTCTTCTTCATTCATGTCGCCAATTCTGGGGAGCTTTTGCGAAAGTTTCGAGCGTGGAGCAATTATTGAGGGCGATTGGGTGCTCGGAGCCTCGGACGGCCGCGGCGGCTATATTTCGACGTCAGAATCTATTCGGTCTGCTTTCGAATATCTTTAGTGATGTTTGCTCAAATATTTAGTTGCTCCCGAGAGGAAAGAGATTTTCAATTCCAAGTTCTACAAAATTGAATTGAATATTCACAATATTTATCCCTGATAAAGAACCATAGAGTAATTCACATTGCATAAAATCTATACCATGTTGGGAGAGCATCATACCACGAGTGCGTGGGCTGGGCATTCCCTAGCGTCCCGGGACAAACAATGCTCCAAAGCAATGCCTTTCGGGTGAAAACAATGATCATACTCGAATGCCAACACACCTATATGTTGTCGTAATCCATCCATACAAACAATAAAATCCATCTGATTAAAATATGGAAAATAAATATTGATTGAGTTTTTCTCTAAAGCTCAATCGCCATTAAATCATTCGTGATGGATTCATACAGTTTGATGTGTGAATTGATTTGTATATATATATATATAGGGCTCTACATCATTATCTGAAAATCAAGGGGCATTTTGATTAATGAGAAAGGAAAAAAAAACTTGAATAATACTGATAGATCTTATTATATTATTTTTTCACTCTATTTATTTTTAAAATAAGTATTTGAAGTTAACTAATATTTCTTCATTTCATTTGTGATCAATCTTTAGATTGATTGAATGTTAATCATGCAAACTTAATGCTTGTTTGTAAAAAAAAATTTAAATTGTATTCTGTTGATCTTTAAAGTAATAGAACAAAAATATCATCAAAACACATTGCTACACAATGTTCATCACAAAGAAAGTACAAAAGACATACAATATGAATTAGCATTCAGATCAATCCATCAATGTAAATGCTGGAACCAAAAGCTTTTGGATGATGATTTGATTTTCCTCCTCTGTATATTTTCTGTCAAAGATTAAAAAATCATTAGAAATGAACATAGAGTTCAACAGTTAATTGATCATTTTAAACTGATATTGACATTGATACTCATTCATTTAAAAAAAAATTTGAAATCTTTTCTTGAAAAGCATAAAATTTACATCGATAATTTTTAATGTAAAATTGTTGTGTTGTCAAATATATTGAATTATTGATGCATTTTCAAATTTTGGAATCTATATTATAAATTGAAAATAAATTATTTACAATAATAAATAATTATATGTCCAATTAATCATGTCGTAAATTTAGTATTAAATATTCATTTCTTCACTTTAATACTGTAGTGATATTTCATCAAGATTACACAAAACTATTCTCTGTTTTATATCATGAATTGTTTAAAAACATCTAAATCAATTGTTAAAAAAATTTGTGAATTAATTTAATATAAATGAAATATCAATTTATACATTACATTAAAGTTTCAAAGATTTGTAAAATAAATCTAAATGATAGGTTTTTAAGTATTTCAACTTTTTAACAATAAACTAAAAGAAAAAATACTGCTTAATCTGGCCAAACAAATTATTAAAAAAATTTAAGAATATCAACTTGTGTAAAAATTGATATTTTTATGCAAAAAATAGTTATAATTTTACATGTTAGATAATTATAATTATGATATATCTAAATATATACTATTTCTTTAGTTTCAAATATATTATTTTAAAAGATTTATTACTAAAATTCTTGTTTACAAAAATATGTTCCAACCTCCTATACTGATAAAAAAATATTTCTAATTTTATGAAACAATTTGAGAAGTTAATTTCAACCTCGTTAATATCGGTTCGTTACACCATTTCATTTTTCACTGTATACACATTTATTCAAAGTTCCAAGTAACACATAATATTTTTTAATTAACTGAGTTTGATTTTTTTGTATAAAATTTCCTTTACATTAAACACTTATATTTTCTTCATTGATGATATTTTATTGTGAAAAATATGAAAATTGATATAAGAGCAATTTGATTTTATGAACATCATTGTTAGCAATATGCAAAAAAATTATTATAAGAGTACGATTGTTAATAGTGAAAACATCATTCATAAGAGTTACGTTGAAGTTTCATTTCCAATTTGTTCAAAGCAAAAATAACATGATTAAATATCAACTTTTGATAAGCTTTTGAGTATAGAAAAAACAACCAGAATTTCTATGATATTGAAAGTAGAAAAAATTTATTTTGTGAACAAAATTCAATGAAAAATGTAGTGTTCATTTTCTACAAGATATATATATATATATATATATATATAACTCAAGAATCAAATATTTACTCTTACTACTGGTCTATTTTAATGGTCAAAGTTGTTTGATGCTACAGTTTCAGCTTTTTTATAAGATTTTTGCATACATAAAAAATGTTATCTTTGAAACAAATAATAAAGCTTTCATACAAAAATATCTAAAAGAATTCGAATCTACATAATTTCATAGTCAATGCACGATCTCACATACAATGAACAAGATTAAAATTATCCTTTGTATTAGATATGTAGTTGAAGAAAATCCTTCAAATGACTTAAACGAAATAATAAATATTTCAAGTAAACTTAAAATACTATAATAATACAAAATTGATCTTATAGGAATATCATTATCGAATTTTGCACCACAACTCAACACAAAGTTAATCTGAACCAGGAGATTGTAATAAATTTCTTGCATATTCGCAAGTTACTATTTTTTTCTCACATTATGATATGTATTTTGATCAAAGTTATTTGTTGAGGATTTTTCATGTTTAGATTCTCTTTATCTAAAAAACTCTTAAGTGACATGATGGTATAGTGAGTTCTATCACATGAATCACATTAATAAAGTAAACTTGGAAATACATCACGGAAGCTTACTGGTTTTTGCCTCTAAGTTACGGCCTAATGTAATGGATAATCATTTTTTAAGATCCATACATTCGGATATTTGCACATGACAAGTACACCAAAAAGCAGTCTACAGTCCAGGCCATCGTGAATTGCAAGAAATTGGGGAAATCAACGGAAGGTCAACTGTAAGGCATGAAAACTATTGCTGTGATCTTGATTTATTTTATTTAGATTGCTGAGTGGACAAGCGGTTCAGAAGCGGTTATGAGGAATGGGGCCAAGATGTACACCAGAGTTCCCAACAAATGAAATACCAATATATTATATCTGCTTTTGTGTGGACCACCAATCAACGCTTTGCGGGAACTTTCAGACAAGAAGCAAGTTGTGTGTATGTTAATAAATTGTTCATGTATCAATCAGACCAAGCGAAACAAATGGGCAGTAACATTTAGTTTGTACCATGCTTCTGTTCATTGTTCAAATTCAGGACTTATCTATCCCTCGAAAATTGGCTTGATGAGCTTCATGTAACACTTATCTCTTGAATGTATGCGTTTGCGAGATATATGATAAAAATTGTATTATTAGCTGGGATATAGTAAAATATACTACTGCAGAGCACCCCAACAAAAATAGATCTCCACATGAACAAAGATGGATGGTGCATCTGGATAATATAATTTCATACTAAACTGAAGACATTTTATATGTATGTAAAGTCGAATTGAAAATGATTGGAAATTCGGGATCAGTGATATCAGTTTTATTTATATATATATATATATATATATATATATATATATATATATATATATATCAACAAATTTGAATGCATGCTCAATGATCTGCAAACAAATAAAAATAATAATAATTGTTATAACATGAAGTAATCTGAACACACCAAAATGGATTTTATTTTGCATGAAGCTCAATAAATTAGCGTGTGATTTTAAGGATTGGAAAGCATTAGGAATTATGAGCATAATAAGCAATGTCTTGGAAATATAAGGTTTAGGTTGAATCAACAAACATATAAGCATAACATTGAGCTACATTGTCATTATAATTAAAAATGATATACATTTGATCAGAAAGTCAAAAGAATATAAAAAGACAAATATCAACTCTAACTTAATATCTTTGTCTCTACGTGAATGAATCACAACATATGAAATGTCATATATTTTGAGTAAATTGGCATATAAATGTCAAGTATAACAATGATCTCCACTTTTGCTCAAAATATGATTCCATCACACACAAAAAATGATTCATTTGAACAATACAACATCTACGAAAGGCACAGGGTGAGTCACATATAATCCTAAATTGTGTCACACAAATCTTTGAGATATAGGACAGTATTTTTTATTGTTCAAATAATCACTCTGAAGATTCTCACCATGAATTAATCACTAACAATTTTTTTGAAAAAACCTATGTTGATCGACCTCTTTGTTGTGTATCTACATAGTTAGCAAAAAATTATAAAAGAATCATAACTGTAAATGAAGCTCTGTACAAGTATTAACTTGAACTAAGTCACATTATCAACATTTTTTAAAAAGATACAAATTTTTTTATAAGACTGGTAAAGAAATTGTTTTGTTTGTGAGCAAAATTTACATTTATGTAGGAGCATGATATACTCTCTTCAATAATGCTTAACTAAAATACAGTCAACTGTCAATTTTGATTAGCTCAATTTATGTTTGG